TCTGTTTATGTTACTTGTGTTATTTATTTCATTTTCTCTATTACATAAACAATTTTTATCGTTTGTTTATCTATATATTCCTAGTATCGAAAACATTTCAAATTATGTTTCTTCTATGAAATAATCGTTTATTTGTTTTTATCTATGAAATATTTAAATTGCTTCTTTTTAAAAGTGACCTTTCCAGGTCAGTGATTTAAGAATAAGTATAGAATTTTAACATTCAATGTTATAATTCATGAACGAATTATCTATTTTATTTGATACGTCTATGTGAGGTAAGAATTGGTGTCGTCTGTAATTAATCTCTCGAATAGTGTACTGGATACGATAAAAATTCCTACAGTAAAAAAAACACTTACACTCTTCTTCCAAGAAAAACTATAGCGATGTACTTACATATATATTATCGATAACACACTGGTGCGGAAGACAAGCAATATGAATATATTATTTCTCAGAGGTCAATAGGTACATTTGTCACAAATAATGGTCTCGGTAACCTAGATTTAACCCACAGTCACGAGACTGGGAGATTACTTAGGTATGATAATCCGAACTGACCACGTGTATATACAATAATCTTCTTTTGTAGTCAGGAGATGTGATGGTCAACTGAGGTGTTCTTCATTCTTTAACGTTTGTGTATATTTGTTTATAAAAGTAAGGAGAGGTACTCTTTAGGCTAGAGCTGTTGTCCTTTTCCTTTTGACAGTGAAATGACAAGAAGATGTTCTGAAATGAAAAAGAAATTTCTAATTATATCATTATTTGTTATCTCCTCTGATAAGTCAAAACGATCATAGTATCAATGGTACGTGTGCCTTACAACATTATAGTATTCTATACTGGTAAATTGTTATTATAATTCAAGTGACAATGTCTTCACAAGTCATGTCAGAAAGGATAAAGGTTTGAATTATCATATCATTCCTTAAAACACAAGTGAAAAAAGAAGACATATTTATATGTTTAAAGCCATGTTAAAAACACAAGTGAAAGAAGGAGAAATATTTATATGTTTAAAGCCATGTTAAAAACAAAAGTGAAAGGAGAAATATTTATATGTTTAAAGCCATGTTAAAAACACAAGTGAAAGGAGGAGAAATATTTATATGTTTAAAGCCTTGTTAAAAACAAAAGAGAAAGGAGAAATATTTATATGTTTAAAGCCATGTTAAAAACACAAGTGAAAGGAGGAGAAATATTTATATGTTTAAAGCCTTGTTAAAAACAAAAGAGAAAGGAGAAATATTTATATGTTTAAAGGCTTGTTAAAAACAAAAGTGAAAGGAGAAATATTTATATGTTTAAAGCCATGTTAAAAACACAAGTGACAAGAGAAATATTTATATGTTTAAAGCCATGTTAAAAACACAAGCGACAAGAGAAATATTTATATGTTTAAAGCCATGTTAAAAACACAAGCGACAAGAGAAATATTTATATGTTTAAAGCCTTGTTAAAAACAAAAGTGAAAGGAGAAATATTTATATGTTTAAAGCCTTGTTAAAAACAAAAGAGAAAGGAGAAATATTTATATGTTTAAAGCCTTGTTAAAAACAAAAGTGAAAGGAGAAATATTTATATGTTTAAAGCCATGTTAAAAACACAAGCGACAAGAGAAATATTTATATGTTTAAAGCCATGTTAAAAACACAAGCGACAAGAGAAATATTTATATGTTTAAAGCCTTGTTAAAAACACAAGTAAACATCACAATTTGATATAGTAATAGTAATAGAAACATTCTTATGTAATTTGTAGGTGATGTTTAAGGAAAACTGCGAAATTTTAAAAAAATAAATAAGAAAGGGGGAAGGGGATTGAGTCAGGAAAACCAATACATTAGTCACATGAGAATTTCTTACTGTGAGATGTAGCTAGCTATTAACACGAGTACCCAATACTGTCATACTAAGAAATGTCATTCTTAGATTTTTTGTGATTAAAATGTCCAAAAATAAAATTCACGACGGAAAAATATCAAAGGATCATTATACATAAAAATAAATAGCTAGTTTTGTGTAAAACTTCACCATAAAGCTGTTATTTCATTAACTTTTGAGTGATATTTGGGGTCTTAAGTCCTAATTTAACAAGGATTCGGAAAACAAAATCGACAGATTCCAATCATTGGATATGAAATATTAAACAAACGTTTAACAAAGTTATCTTTCAAATATTAAACAAGATGTTTGGACCAAATTTTTTTTGTTGACTTTTTACAACGAAGTGGAAGCGATACCTTACAAGCATGCAGATATCTTGATCATTGTGCCTGGAAGATATACACAAACGCCCTATACATGAATCGATATCTTGGTGTCATTTGGGTATTAACACTTCACACAATGGATTTCATTGGAAATTTTGCTTGAAACGCACGTCTAACGTGATATTAAACTTTTGTAAAATTCTGTATCGATCGTGGCGTATCCATGATACTAAGTCAATATTTATAACCTTAACATCTGGGGAGTACGATACAGATATAACTATCGTTAATGCGGTGTTGATGACGTCACTGTTAAATATATACATTAAAGATGTGAATTTTTTATAAGAAATTCCCGTCAACCGAAGAAGCTTTTATCAGGCTGTATGGTTCCTGATGTCTTTAAAACGCTGGTAACAATTACAAAGTAGTTTTTGTTTGTTGAGTTGTCATGTGTTCCTTAAGACATTATATAGAAATTAAACTAATATGAAAACATTTAAAATATTTTTATTGCGAAACTGAGAAAACAAAGCAACTGAAATTTGTTTCCCTCTTCAAAAAATCAATAGCAAATTTATCATTTCCTATAGATAAAGCTGGGTCCTTATTTTTATTATTTCACTGTTTCGACCTGCAGTTTAAACTACAAGTCTACTGGTTCTAATTCATTTTAGATCAGAAAGGGGGTCACGTGATCTATTTGCATACCTTTCTGTCTTATATTTGCAACAAATTTATCAAATCTCGATAATATCCAGATAAAGGCTGCGCGAGTTGAGAACGGATCCCTCTTAGCACTAGATGGAAGTACAGAGGATTATCTTTTTTTTCAAAATTACCAACGTGACACTACATCAGAAATTATTTGAGATCGCCGCAAAGACAAGACAAGCAAACTTCCGATCATGCGCAGTTGTTTTTGTGCGAGGTGGGATGACTTTTGATATTTCTATTATGAACTCTACTACTCTCAATACATATGTTTAAACCAAATATCACTGAGACACAAATAACACACAACAAATGCTTTCTGGAGTTCACGTAATTAAATATAAATAAAACATACTTCACTACCGTTGTAGTAACCATGGCAGCGTTCTAATTACCGACTCCCTAGGGCGGATGTGGTACCCGATGTGAAGACCCTTTTCACTATCTTTGTATCTGTCCCCTATACACTGAAAAAAGCCATTCATCAATAAGTCATTTACAAACTTTTCGCGAGAATTTAATTCTATAAATTCAGAAAAGATTTTGTTCAAGAGAAAACAGGTTAATGAAGATCATGGGAAAGTTTCACGGTCTTCACAACGGTCTAATTAACAAATAAGATAATACTATGTATCTTTGGACGATACCCAATTTAATTATCGTCAAGTTTTTCAAGGCAAGAAAAAATAATAAACTTATCCCATGACAATTAAGAATCGTTATTACTATGTATTTATAGCCTGTGTTGTATAATTGTCTCTCAGAAAGTGGTTCAATTCTATCCAATTTTTCTCTCGTCAAATAGGATTTCTCTTCAACACTTATCAGATAGGACTTCTCTCCAACACTTATCAAATAGGACTTCTCTCCAACACTTATCAAATAGGATTTCTCTTCGACACTTATCAAATAGGACTTCTCTCCAACACTTATCAAATAGGATTTCTCTTCAACACTTATCAAATAGGACTTCTCTCCAACACTTACCAAATAGGATTTCTCTTCAACACTTATCAAATAGGACTTCTCTTCAACACTTATCAAATGGGACTTCTCTTCAACACTTTTTTGACACTAAAATGATATATGCACGTATCATACAAAAACAGTACATTGACATCAATAAACAATGATGTGAAGCCTGGGGTATAATACACCACTCCCTGTCATCGATATTAATATATAGGATGCACTTATATTGTCATGTACAGCTGATGATAAGAAATAATACCACTAATGAAATACTTATCATTATATTGTTACCATTTAGAATGCTATCTTTCATCACGACCAGAAAGGTTTTTTTTTTATTCTGAGTTTGCCTATGCATTTATGATTACCTGAGGTATTTATGATATCATGAACACTTTTGTAAAGTCACCTGAGGTAATTTTGATATCATGAACACTTTTGTAAAGTCACCTGAGGTAATTTTGATATCATGAACACTTTTGTAAAGTCACATGAGGTATTAATGATATCATGAACACTTTTGTAAAGTCACATGAGGTAATTTTGATATCATGAACACTTTTGTAAAGTCACCTGAGGTATTTCTGATGTCATGAACACTTTTGTAAAGTCACCTGAGGTAATTTTGATATCATGAACACTTTTGTAAAGTCACCTGAGGTAATTTTGATGTCATGAACACTTTTGTAAAGTCACCTGAGGTAATTTTGATGTCATGAACACTTTTGTAAAGTCACCTGAGGTAATTTTGATATCATGAACACTTTTGTAAAGTCACCTGAGGTAATTTTGATATCACGAACACTTTTGTAAAGTCACCTGAGGTAATTTTGATATCATGAACACTTTTGTAAAGTCACCTGAGGTAATTTTCATATCATGAACACTTTTGTAAAGTCACCTGAGGTAATTTTGATATCATGAACACTTTTGTAAAGTCACCTGAGGTAATTTTGATATCATGAACACTTTTGTAAAGTCACCTGAGGTAATTTTGATGTCATGAACACTTTTGTAAAGTCACCTAAATTTGTTGTTATGTTGCCGCTCTGTCTAGATTCTATTCACGGAGATAAATCCTATTTTCTTTCTCTAGGTGTCTGGTCATCTACTTTACACAGCAAGTGCTGACGGGACGGTTCGGGAGTGGGTTTACAAGTACGGGGAGTGTTCAATGGTTATGAAGGGCCACACCCACACAGTGTCCAGTGTGAAGGTGGAGACTGTTAGTGAACAGGATAGCACCGGCCGTATTAACACCAAGCGAACAGGTAACCACGTGCATATTTCATTATCATTCTATACCAAGTCAGTTCCTATCAGCTGATTCTATCTTTGATGCTGGCTTTTTCATTCGTTTTGTCCTTCCTAACAGCGTCAATATTTATAGCAAGATCCGCAAATGTTAATCGATCTCATAATCACCAAATATTTACCTTTTGTCGCGTTTTCCGCCGACTTACTGAATATTTCACAAGCTCTTCTCTAATCAGTACTTTAGTACACCTGCCTGTGTTTATGTAAATGTTGTCATTCGTCAAGGTTGATGAGCCTCGTCATTTTAGAGAAATATTTTATTTCAGTTTAACGAGTCAATAGTAAAAGGAATTGAAACGTACAGCCTAGAACAATAACAACAACAAAGCGGAGTATATATATAACAAAGGTCATTATATATTCAAATGTCTCCGCTGGGATTCGAACTTGGGACTTATGGATTAATAATCTGACGCTCAGCCTATCGAGCTGAAGGGAAGTTCTCTGTAGCCGCAGTACATTACGACCCAATGAGTTGTCAGTAGTCGGATGAATGCCCACATGACGTGTCCCTAGTGTAGATTTCTATAGTTAGATGTATGCCATCATGACGTGTCCCCGGTGGAGTTGTCAGTAGTAAGATGTATGCCCACATGACGTGTCCCCAGTGGAGTTGTCAGTAGTCGGATGAATGCCCACATGACGTGTCCTTAGTGTAGATTTCTATAGTTAGATGTATGCCATCATGACGTGTCCCCGGTGGAGTTGTCAGTAGTAAGATGTATGCCCACATGACGTGTCCCCAGTGGAGTTGTCAGTAGTCGGATGAATGCCCACATGACGTGTCCCTAGTGTAGACTTCTATAGTTAGATGTATGCCATCATGACGTGTCCCCGGTGGAGTTGTCAGTAGTAAGATGTATGCCCACATGACGTGTCCCCAGTGGAGTTGTCAGTAGTAAGATGTATGCCCACATGACGTGTCCCTAGTGTAGATTTCTATAGTTAGATGTATGCCCTCATGACGTGTCCCCGGTGGAGTTGTCAGTAGTAAGATGTATGCCCACATGACGTGTCCCCAGTGGAGTTGTCAGTAGTTAGATGTATGTCCACATGACATGTCCCCGGTGGAGTTGTCAGTAGTAAGATGTATGCCCACATGACGTGTCCCCAGTGGAGTTGTCAGTTAGATGTATGCCCACATGACGTGTCCCCGTGGAGTTGTCAGTAGTTAGATGTATGTCCACATGACGTGTCCCCGGTGGAGTTGTCAGTAGTAAGATGTATGCCCACATGACGTGACCCCCGTGGAGTTGTCTAAAGTTAGATGTATGCCCTCATGACGTGTCCCCGGTGGAGTTGTCAGTAGTAAGATGTATGCCCACATGACGTGTCCCCAGTGGAGTTGTCGGTAGTTAGATTTATGCCCACATGACATGTCCCCGGTGGAGTTGTCAGCAGTTAGATGTATGCCCACATGACGTATCCCCTTGGAGTTGTCAGTAGTTAGATGTATGCCCACATGACGTGACCCCGGTGGAGTTGTCTATAGTTAGATGTATGTCCTCATGACGTGTCCCCGGTGGAGTTGTCAGTAGTTAGATGTATGCCCACATGACGTGACCCCCGTGGAGTTGTCTATAGTTAGATTTATGCCCACATGACGTGTCCCCAGTGAAGTTGTCAGTAGTTAGATTTATGCCCACATGACGTGTCCCCGTGGAGTTGTGGGTTGTCTGATGTATGCCCACATGACGTGTCCCCAGTGGAGTTGTCGGTAGTTAGATTTATGCCCACATGACGTGTCCCCAGTGGAGTTGTCAGTAGTCGGATGAATGCCCACATGACGTGTCCCTAGTGTAGACTTCTATAGTTAGATGTATGCCATCATGACGTGCCCCCGTGGAGTTGTCAGTAGTTAGATGTATGCCCACATGACGTGACCCCCGTGGAGTTGTGGGTAGTTTGATGTATGCCCACATGACGTGTCCCCGGTTGAGTTGTCAGTAGTTAGATGTATGCCCACATGACGTGCCCCCGTGGAGTTGTCGGTATTTAGATTTATGCCCACATGACGTGTCCCCAGTGGAGTTGTCAGTTAGATGTATGCCGACATGACGTGCCCCCGGTGGAGTTGTCGGTAGTTCTATGTATGCCGACATGACGTGCCCCCGTGGAGTTGTCAGTAGTTAGATTTATGCCCAAATGACGAGACCCCGGTGGAGTTGTCAGTAGTTAGATTTATGCCCACATGACTTGACCCCGGTGGAGTTGTCAGTAGTTAGATGTATGCCCTAGTCACGTGTCCCTGGTGGACGTTTCTTGTGTCGGTAGCGGTGAGATAACTTATATATAACTCTTTTTCTTTATAGTTTTCACTGGGTGTGGTGACAAGTTAGTTCGAGCGTTCGACCCAGACACAGGCCGTTTAATACGAAGTTTTCCTGGTCATGACAAAGGCATAACGGCTATCAAGGTAAGCTTTTCAAACTGGAATAATATTTCAGATGTGATCATGTACAGTTTACTATTTTCGGAGGGATCTCTTTTTGCTATTTTCGAGGTTGGAACGAAAGCAAAAAATGTATACCGTAGAAATAAGGCCCGTCAAAAGACGGTCCACGTTTTGTTACCATGTTTGATCACTGATATTTTCGGACATTATCCAAAGAGTTATGGCCCCTTAATCAATTACCGAAAACGTCCGCTCCATATCGCAAGTAGTTTTCAGCGGATCAACTTCAAATTTAAAAGGAATGTGAAATACCATGATAGCTCGGAAAGGTTTAATGACCACGCTTTTCGACCGAAAATTATGAAGTTATGACCTTTTATTAAATTACTGAAACAGTGTCTGCTTAACATCTTAATAAACTTTCAACAGATCCACTTCAAACTTGATCGTTTCATTACCATGATTGCTCGGACAAGATTTGCCATTTATTTCATTACAAAAACAGTGTCCACTTGATTTCGAAAGTTATTTTCAACGAATCAAATTTCAATTTTATTGGAAGGTTCATGATAGCTTGTCAAACCTCGATCATGGTCATTTCTGGGAAGTAATTCACTGTGTTCTGTTCCTTTATCCAATCATTAAAACAGTTTCTGATCGAAATCTGGATTAATTTTCAACGTATCAACTTCAAACTTCGTAGGGAGGTTCGTCACCATTATAGTTAGGACAAGTAGGATAACTGACACTTAAGGCCCATAATTTATAGAGTTATGGCCCCTTATTTCATTAATTTGTGACGGATACATTTGGGTATTAAATATCACTTTCCTTTCTTGTTATAAAAATCTCGTTAGACCTTTGACGGGCGTATCATGTACCGTCTCGCTGAACTCTTGTTCTCATTTTTGAGGACATGACATTGTTAACATGGATTGACCAGGATCTACAATAAACATGGTCGATTTAACAGTCGATGAAGCTGAAGACCCATTCTCTTCCACAAAACCAGAGTTTATTCCCCTTTTACTTTTTTCACGAGTCTCCGTGTAAATCTCTTTTTGTTCATATTTTGTCCTATCTTATTGAATTTGAGTTCAGATTAGGATTCTTTTAAAATGTTGGTATTTTCTTGTCGTTTTGATATAGAAAACCAAAGTCCGTTGTTTTAGTTCCTGTAAAGGGAAACCCCTAACGTTGAACATTTGAATGATCGTTATGATCTTTACTGCAGTGTATGTGTTAGAGTTTTCATTGATGTGTGATTTTCTAAAACGAGGCTAAGAAATTTTAGCGAACATTCTTTCCTATATGAATATATAGGTTTAACTGTTCTGTAAATGTTCCATCCCACTTACCCAGGTACACTGAAGAAGTTGGTGAAATATGTGTATCTACGTAAACATGACAGTTCTGGGTTAATCTCTCTGCATATGATTTGTCCTCTATCTTACCCAGGTACAAAAAGGAATGCTGTACAGTGCTTCATATGACGGTACAGTCAAACTCTGGCACGCTTTCGATGTCCCCGTCGAGGAGCGAAACAACAACGATGGCTCACAGGAAAAACGTCCCTCACCTGACTTGAGGAAACGCAAAGTCAGTCATAGTGAAGCATGAGTTATTGTCGATAAGGAACTGAACTACTGTGATATAGCTGACGTTTTGAAGAAGGCAACTATGTTTTTAATATTTTCATCATTATTGTTCATTATTACTTAGTGATTTAAGTTAAATGGAGAAAAAAAAAAACATTTTTAAGAAATCGAGCGGTGATGCTTGTCCTAGTGAATCCTGCATTGGAGGAGGTTAAGCGCTGATAATGGACACTCCAGTAAACAGAGTGGGCGGCAGATATGGACATGACAGTGATAGCGGCCCTACCCATGGACACTGCAGTAAACAAAGTGGGCGGCAGATATAGGCACGACAGTGATAGCGGCCCTACCCATGGACACTACAGTAAACAGAGTAGGACGGCAGATAAAGGCATGACAGTGATAGCGGCCCTACCCATGGACATTGCAGTAAACAGATTGGGCGGCAGATATGTGCATGACAGTGATAGCGGCCCTACCCATGGACATTGCAGTAAACAGAGTGGGCGGCAGATATAGGCATGACAGTGATAGCGGCCCTACCCATGGACATTGCAGTAAACAAAGTGGGCAGCAGATTTGCCCAAGGGCACTGCAGTAAATTTAGGTGACGGGCAGTTACTATGGTGATAACGGCCGTGACCATGGACACTGCAGTAAATAAAGTTGACGGGCAGTTACGATGGTGATAACGGCCCTGACCATGGACACTTTGATAAACAAAGTTGACGAGAAGATATGACGATGATAGCGGCCCCGATAAGGGACAGTGTAGTGAAGGATGACGATTGATAGACGTGGATGTGGCGGTAAAAATCAACTGTTTGTTATGACTAGGACGGTGTTTGTGCCACCGACAATCGATACCTATTGTACACAATGTCGTAGAATGACTGCTATTTGAGTTCCATCGATTGTGGCTGATGACACTTACCTGCGGTAAGAACAGTTATGACTTATGTGTACTTAGGAGGCGACGGTGGATCCAATGTAAGACAGAAATTCTTTCTGTCCTCTGATAAGTGGATATCTAGAAAGCAAAACAACAAACTAAATATGTTACCTCTAGAGTGCTGCAATACCAGGTGCCTCTGTCGCCCTACCCCCTTCTTTCCGCCCTACCCCCTGCTTTCCGCCCTATCCCCTACTTTCCGCCCTACGCCCTGCTTTCCGCCCTATCCCCTGCTTTCCGCCCTATCCCCTACTTTCCGCCCTATCCCCTACTTTCCGCCCTATCCCCTGCTTTCCGCCCTATCCCCTATTTCCACCCTACCCTGCTTTCCGCCCTACCCCCTGCTTTCCGCCCTATCCCCTATTTCCACCCTACCCTGCTTTCCGCCCTACCCCCTGCTTTCCGCCCTATCCCCTACTTTCCGCCCTACGCCCTGCTTTCCGCCCTATCCCCTCCTTTCCCCCCTATCCCCTACTTTCCGCCCTATCCCCTACTTTCCGCTCTACCCCCTACTTTCCGCCCTACCCCCTACTTTCCGCCCTATCCCCTACTTTCCGCCCTATCCCCTACTTTCCGCCCTACCCCCTACTTTCCGCCCTACCCACTACTTTCCATCCCATATAAATAATTTAATCAAAGAGCAGAAAGAAAACACTCATAAGCCATCTGTGTTAACCAGTTATAATACAATTGAAAATCATTCTGAGGTGAGAGTTGTTCAGATTGTGTTTCTGTTCAGACTTCATCAACAGAAAGCTGAGATGTTTTCGTGGGAATCAATTTACGTATTTTTTTTTTTTATTCGCAGACAAATATTGTTGTATAAATATTGATGAAATTTTACGGGAAAGTTTGACGGTCGATATTCTCATTGAGACTTTTCTGTGCGATATGGACCTGTTTGATGCTCGTTAGTTTACCTGTTGGTTCCGTTGCTGTATACCTTGTTTTCATCTGCCATTACTAACTTGAATTGACCATGGTTTACATGGTGGGTGTCCCCGATGAAGCAGAAGACGCTAACTTTTCCAGAACACGTGGTCTTATTTGTATATACTTTTTCAAAGATTTCACTGTACATCTTTCTTCTGTCCATATTTTGGCCCGATTTATTGAATTTGAGTTTGGGTTGTGATTATGTTATATGCTAGTATTTTCTTGTTGTTTAACAGTTCATGGATATGAATTCATGAAGTACGAGTAGTGATTGCACACACGTACATTTAAGGTAGTTTTTTTCTTCTCTATACAAGTACGGGGAAAGTAAAAGCAACAAGAATAACGCTATTTAAGAAAATGAATCAAGCGTTGACTTTTTGTCTGAACATTGATTTCAGTACAGAAAATAGCACTTAATGATGTTTTTGATGTTTGTCGTCTTTGTTGGGGATTTCACTGACTGTATCTTTCAATAGTGATTTCAAACATTGATTCTTATTATTTTCTGGTGTATTTTCATTCCATCGAAGCTTTTTGTATATTCACTGGCTTTAGAACCGTTCCCACTTCTAGCGACTTTGTAACATATCTACTATTACCATTTGTACAAAATCCATGTACATCCTTTGATAAATCCTGACTACAGTTGTTATATTCTGAATGTGTCACGTGCCGTCACCTCAGAAATCGATGGAGTATATAATTTATACGGGTTGGACACAGCCTGTTTAAAACATGCCTGTCGTCATTTTTTCTACATAAACAGTTTGGTATACAATTGCGTGATGGTTCTTTCATTTTTTTTCTATAGTTTTTGTAGATTTTAAAAATTTATTGCTGAAATTGATTATTGTGATATATAATTGATTTCATTAATTGTGTGTCCCTAGAAACAGCTCATCAACTCTACCTACGTTTTAACACCTGCAGTAAATAATTAATATGTGATGTTATATCATTCAGTATTTATTAAGTAGTATGAATTTAAAGATCGATTCTCAATACTGAAGTTTATTCTGAGAAGTGTTCGTTTTAAGTGACAGAAATTCTGATGTCAAAACTGATATTTCGTTCGTGCTACACTCTGAGGCCCAGGACGAATCGGATTTACACGTGTGTAAAAAGTCTGGGGTTGTTTCGAGGGTAGATGATCAGCATCATCTGTACAAGTTTCCATTTGAAAACGTCTGAAAAAGTTATGACAAGTGATACAGAAATTTGAGATGTCGATATTTGCACGTTTAACCCTAAATATCTGAAGGATAGGTTTTTTTCCAGATACTACACCTACCTGAGTTTTAGATGACGTTGAGTACTACAATCCTGACAAGTTTCAGAAAGTTCTATTGTTCCGTCTTAAATCGACCCATATTGCTGCAGTACTCGGCTGTTAGCCGTGTAGACATTCAGAGAAAAAGAAGCCAGGGTTCTCTCCCCTGTCGTTTGATACACTGTATGCTGTCAGCTTATTTTTACAAGCTCTGTCTATTGAATCACACTGTGGATCTTGTACTGGTCTCCATTGCCACAGCTTTCACTCGGGAAAGAAATTACAAACCGTTTCAATAACACATTTTTTAATTTGTGACTCCCTAACTGTTGTTTATTCATTATTTATTTTAACATCTTTTTAAGCCTGTTTCACATCAGCCGTGCGATTTTTCGTCGTACGATTTCCGCCGCAACACAATCACTACCTATTCGCACCCGTCGCACAAAATGCAAATTTGCAAAGCGATCTCCGTACGTTGTTCGCACGGTTGACTCAGGAACCGTACGGTGTTCGACGGTTGAACGTACGAAAAAATAACAACAAAGCGACGAGTTCGCACGGCTGTCACGCGGTTATCCTGATGCTGCCGCACTAATTCTCAAGGCATCCGCAAGACTGCCGTAAGAATTTGCAAAGTTTCTTACGACCACCGCACGGCAAGCACGAATTTGCAAGACAGCTGTACGATGTTCGTGCGATCACCATTAGGAGAAGGAATTATCTCCTCTTGTCCAGACTTTTTGTGTAAAACTCTGGATATTCGCTAAACCACTGCTTAAGTATATTCTCTTGCTGTGAAGTAAAGGCATATTTGTCACTCCTGTACAAGCACGTGCCTTCTTCATCTGAATCCTGGGTTGGTGGTACCTCGGTTGTCTCGGGTTCAATGGGGGGTTCAGCAACCGGAACCTTCCCCTTTCCCTTCTGAGCTCTTTGTTTTGGAGGCATGACCTTCTCTTCTTGAAATCTCGACAGCGACTGATGACGAACAAGACAGACAAACTTTTTAAAAGAGGAGGGATGACGCTAACAAGGTATTTGCGGGGCAGCCGTGCGAATCTATACGTTGTTCGTACGTTCTGCAGCAGTCTTTAGACAGACTTTCACCAGACGCAAGGCATTCGCAGGTCAGCCGCAAGATGTTCGTACGATCACCTTGTAGCCTTCTCAGGATAAACGCAAGTATAAAATCGTACGATTGACGTGCGATGGTCTCAAGGTAGCCATACGGCTGTCGTGTGGCAACCGTGCAGTTGCCGTGCGAACTCCAAAAATCGCAAAGAAAATGAGCATTTTGAAAAAGCAGCTTGCGACGTCTGCGGCGTTGCGAATTTGTAAGACATTCTTACGGAGTCCGCACGAAGTCCTGCGATTTGTCAAAAAATGTTCCCGTCCGGCTGTCGTAAGGCTGATGTGAAACAGGCTTTGAACGTTTTAAAATTCATGTTAATATATTTTGTTTAAAATCAATAAATGTTTGTGATTTTAAGACACAGTGAATATGACAATGCCATACACAGCTCTCAGTTATATTTGTGTATTTGCCTTCGTTTAATGTTAAAGTCATATTTAAGGTACATTTACACGTACTTACAGACCTGTACCTGAACGTGTCCACTGCCTTGATTAAAATCATTTGTCCTAGACTTCAAATTATTTTTCAACCTTGCAAAATCACCTTATATACAAATATATTTTAATTACGTGATCTTCAAAAATATTAATTGAATGGTGTATTTCACTTATAATATTCTAAATATCTGGTCTCGCCTCGTTATTGTAAGTACTGATGACAAGGTGCCCTGATTGTTGGTAATGACGCTTCTGATGTTTTAGGAAGTGATATTGGTTCGGGTAA